GCGAGTTTTTTTCCCTTTGAGTGCTCTTTTTCATTCATTTGATACTGTATTGCATACTGTACTGACATTCCTTTAAAAATTGTCTGCTCAATAACTTTTTACTCTGTTACTGTCTTATTTCAAAATGGCAAAGGACGAACTTGGTGAGAGGATCATTTAATTTAGCGCTCTGACACAGATCAACTCAAGTCATTCGACTCTAGAAGATGGAAATTTGGACGATTTTCGAACCAAATTGATAAGGAATGCTATAGCTAATTATGAAAAGCAGATTGGAGTTTTTATTAAAGAGCCAGTTAGGGAGCATACACACTGGGATATATGGGGAGGAGTCTATTACTCGGCCAGTTTGTATACTACTATTGGTAGGTAGATTTGCTTTCGTTTATTTCAGAATCTAAGACTTCACCTTGTCTTTTGTGTTTCATTAAACACTTTGTGCAGGGTATGGCAATTTCCATCCCGAAACAAATGCTGGTCGAATTGTTTCAATGGTTTATGCATTTTGTGGTATACCATTGGTTTTTACGATTATGTTTGAGTGGGGCTTTCTGTATTTCTCTTGGTTAGAGATGTTTTGGAAATGGTTCAACCAAAAAGTTTTTAAAAGCAGCCAGGAAGCATTGATACGACGTCGTTTAGAACAGGAAAGGTTTGTTAGCCGAAGAATCATATGGAAACTTTATTACTGGTAGATTATAAGGGAAAATTTTTCACAATTTTTTTTGCAAAAAGTGATTCAGCTCCAATTTGGAGTGATAAAGATTTGTTGTTATATTACTGAACTGGTGATAATTCAGGACTCGTCGAGCTGGTTGCCAGATGTCGCTGAGAACAACATCTACACCAAAATTCGCTGAACAATTTAAAAAACATGAAGATGCTGCTGGGCACTCAACTGATCATCAGGTTAATTATAGTTAAGTTTGCAAAAAATGTTTTCTTTTAGGTCACTAATGAAAGCAAATCTTTGAAAAAATATTTTTTTTCTTTTTTTGTTGGAATGTCGTTTACAGATTGAAAGTGGCAAGCGGATTGCACAACTTGAGATAGAACTTTCGGAAGCAGAAAAGCAACGCACTGTTCCCTTAAAAGTAGCTTTAGTGTTTTTCTTCACGTGGATTTTAATTAGTGCTGCAGTGGTTCGTTTATGGGAAACAAACTGGTCCTATTTTACTGCATATTACTACTTCTTCACATCCCTTACCACAATTGGTAATTTTTTTTTATTTTGTTCGGTATATTATGCTCCACTATTTAGGAAAGGAAGCTTCTGGGAAAGATCTAGACTAGCACTTTACATTCAGTTTTTATTTATCAAAGCAAGAGGACGAATGATATTTATATTTGCGGTGAAGAATAAAAAAGCGTAGTATTACCAGTTATTTTTGGCAATTGATTTGTTGACAATGAAGCAAGTTCATAAATAATGTTATGCAAAAAATTATGCGGAAATGATTTTTTTATTTTACTTTCTACTGATTCTCCTTGTCTAAATTATTGTTCAACAATTTTCTTTAGTTTTTTTCTGCCAAGTTGAACTTTCTTTCAAGAAAACCTTAGCTAGCGAGTCTCGTATTTGAATGATTGAGTGAAAAAGGCATAGTTTGCATCTATAGCCATAAATGGCACATTAACAAGCGACTGTAGTAAAACATTGGCTTTTGAAAGAAAAATTACCATAATTTCATTACAGGAGCTATTCTGGATAGAGTATAAACGACAGAATTTTCTTTTGTTCTGTTATTTGTTTCTTCTTAGGCTTGTTTTTGTACCTACAGGTCACTGTCTAATATCTCATTCAAAATTGGCTTACATGTTTCATTTGTTTAGTATTCTCTGTGTTGCTATTCTTTACAATGCTGCCAGAAGAAAGCTGCTTTACATTTCTCGCAATTACAAAGTTTCAGTGAAGTCTCTCACCAGAAAGTTTTTGAGGTGTAAACGGTTGTGTCATAAGGGTGGAATTTGGTTTAATGAAGCTGGAATAACCTACTTAATTGGTTTTTGCTGAAACGAGTTATCAGCAAATTTCGCATTTCCATATTGGGCAAAATGGTTGTCAAAAAATGGTTTGTACCTGGATTAGTCAGTATTTTAAAAGTCGCTGTTTCGACTTTCTTATAGCTTGTTCTTAGTACGGGTTGGCTTCGATTAGCTGCTTTGTGCGTCGTTGTGCTAAGTGGAGCAGTTTGAAAGCGCTTTGCTATAGGTAGACCTTGTTTTTCGCAATACCGATGGCACCTGAAAGCAAGTTTTAGCAAGGAATTTAACATAGACTTTGCGGTTGGACGGTCACTGACCTAGTTAGAGGCTTGTTGAATGGACACATTGCTGTCTTCAGATATGACCTGTTATGAAAATCGGAATTTGTGAAAAAGCGATACAGTAACAAAAGATGACTATATAAGGAAAACCTTATTTAGTAGTGTCATAGGTGAATGGCCAGTGAGTGAAAGCCAAATATATTTTCCGGTATAATTCTGAAGTTGTTTGAGTAGTTTCAAATGCATCATTTTTGTTGACATCGTTTTAAGCTTCGCTTCAGTTGATAAAATCACTTTAGCTTTCAATTTACTGAAGGCATCAGAAAAAGTTAGGTGTAGCAGCAGACCATTCACTTCATTTTATTGGTTTAGTTTTTGAAGAGAACTGAAATTAAATACCCGAATTTGCTCTTGATTGTCGGAGAAATTGAAATCAGTTTTTTTCTTAAAATCACATTTTTTTGGACAGGTATAATTAATGTTCGAGCTGCTTTTGCTGTAAGTGTTTTTCTAAAGATGTAATTTTTTAGACAGCATAGGAAACGTTATATGGACTAAATCATTACAGCTCCAATTTTAGACTATATTTCTTGAGAAATTTGTTGCTAATCATTTTAATGAGGGTACTTCTATGAAATGTCGCTGAAAAATTTGTTCTCAAAGCTTGAATTATTTATTTGCAGGTCTGGGTGATGTTGTCACTGAGTATCCTCAATACGTTATTTTCAATATGATTTTAACAATGATTGGGCTTTCAGTAGTCGGTCTTTGTCTTGCTATCGTACAGGTGATTTTCCACAGTTTTAATTTTTGAGGTGGAATTAAACTATAATTATGTTTTGGAATGGAACTTTCGTGACACTTAAAAATCTTTTATTACGGTCAAATGGTTGCAGTCAAAAATTCGGTTAATTTTTGATCGAATGAGCCGTTCAATAGATAGCCAATATAGAATTCGGCAGATAGATCCAGATGTCGCCACGATGACCATAATTCCAAATGAAAAAGAAGGCATAAAAAGGTGCAGAATTTGTTTTTAATTTTTTGATGTTGACTAAATTCTTACCTCTGCTTATTGTTTTAGATTATGTGAAGCCCAGCCTTTGCAAGATCGGTTGATTTTTATTGCTATGGATGAGCACAAGAAGGCATTATTGGAAGAGCGCTGGAAACAAAAAAGTTCTTTGATTAACAAGTACTTCTTGCTGTGTAACTTCAAAAAGTAGCGACGCTTTCTTTAAACAAAAAATAAGTATTAGGTTTTTTTATAAGAATTTAAGTTTTCTGCGCTTCGGTGAAGGAGGTTACGAATTTATCTAGGACCCAATTTTTTGTCAAGGTTGGTATCATAAAGATCGGGGTTAATTACTTAAAGGCCAATGTTACTTGGTGACTTAGTGACGCCTTCTGCCGGTATTGACATTTTTTTATACACGCTAACAACTTGTTTTTTAGTTGAATTATGAGGCTGTTTACTACTAATGATTATATAGAAACTGGTAAAAAGTAAGGGTGAGTAATAGACAGCCATAGATTTTGGTGGCTGTACTGCGGAACCGATGTGGCAGTACTGTAAAAAGTAAATTTTTTTTAATACTGTGGCATCAAAACTCAAATCACTCGTACTCGTATAAAACTCTTATACAATAAGAGTACATCACTCTTCTCGACCAATCTCATTTTCAAGTCAGTGTTTCGTATCTCTTGATCATGAGCAGTAACTACTTCACTGCAGTAAATTTGCTGGGGCTAATTAATCGATGTTGGTTAAGACAAAGAAGCTTTACCGTTTAGTAGTCACAGGTTCCTCTTGGAAAGATGAGAGGTCGCCTTCCTCACAGACAACTCTATCAAATAGTTAAGCTTTTCAAAGTATTATAGAATACTGATTAGGGATAATGAAGTTTCCTGTCAGCCTGTTCTACCGAAAGCAGGAATAGCTCTTTTTATCTTATGTCGCCTGTATCGTTGGTAGTCATCTAAATCTTCCTTTCGACGACACCTTCAGTTGGTATTTGTTAAAATGAGACGATTGCCTCCACCAAAAACTCAGTTGTTCCTTTTGATTTATTTTTATCTTCAACTTGACGACTGATTTTTCTACAGGTTTTTCTTTATGCGGAAGCGACTGTTTCTCAGATAATGAGTTTTGGTAGTCAGTGAAACCAAGAGTTGTCGGGTCATTTCGGAGCTTAGACTCCGGTTAAAGTGGGTAACTAACAGCGAAAAAACTTCATGGAGTCAGTTAATATTTTTATTTCAGGGTGACGCAGACTTGGCCGAAAATTGCTGATAAATGCATCCAAACAGGTCAGCGTGTGGATGAACAACCTAGAATGCCTCGTAGAAGAGATTATGATGATGACGATGACAGCGACGACGAAAGTTACTCGGATGAGTCAGGAGCCGAATATGATGACTGTGGGAGGCGCATCGTACCTCCATCTAATCTGCGTTATATATATACCGTATTTGACTAGAAGTTTATCAATTCGAAGTAAACTGAGTAGGCTTTTAATTATTGCTAGGACAACCGTCACAAGATAGTTAGGTCTTTCTTGCCTTTCCCAGCTAGTAACTTGTTACTATTTAACTTCTTGTGCGCTTCTTCGTAAGATTCTTCAAAGTGATGTCTAAAGCTGTGATTGTAGAATTTCTTAAGCATTGCTCAGATTGACACAGTGTGGCAAAATTGTTAGGTAGCACAATGAACGGTAACCGGATGGCTTCAAGTGAAGGTAATTGAAGTTAGTGGAGGCGACAATATTCTACTGGGAAAAAGTGTAACCTGCCTGGAAATCTCGGCTAAAATTCTTCTCCTTTACGGTGTCGCTCAAATGCAGCATTTCAAATTTTTTTTTTTTTGAAAGGCGCATTGGAGACACACTGCAGCGACGTTAACAATAACTAAAGCAGTAGGCGTTTCGAAAGATGAGGGAAAATGGTCTTCTTTCAAATCCCTAGGTTGTATTGGCTATTGCTTCTGGCTGTAGTATTTTCCTGAAAATTATTTTCGCTATTGATTTTTAAGTGTCGTCTGGTATAGAATTTGCTGGAGAATTTGGCAGATAGTCTAAGAGAACAACAGAAATTGCTTTTGGAACGAATGGTGCACGTGAAAAAAAGGTTTTAGGGAGCGTAAAGTTCCAGTCGAATCTTGCGAAGTTACAATTTGACCAACTTCAAGTTTAGTTGTCTCTATTTACGCGTTAGACTCTTTTATTCATCTGTCTGAAAGTTAGCTTTGAATCAAACTTCAACTTTTCCTCGCAGGGCTGGCTATTTATAAGATTCTGCGACGGTGTTTAAGATTTGCTAAAAATGCAGTGGTTTAGAAAATTTTGCTCTAATATTTTTGACAGTCGTTGGAAGTAACACATGACGCAGATTAAAAGCAAGATCAAAAGGATTATTTGTTATATGAATGGTACAATTACGCTTGGTAGCAGTAGCGGATTTCGGATTTATTACGGTCTGCTTTTCTGCTAAATACGACATTTTCCTTGTTCGTCAGCCACACTGTGGTGTTTCTCTAAAGCAGCGCTAGGAAAGAAGTGTCGATAGAAGTAACTGCGTCATAAAAAGCAGTTTCTCAAACAAAGTTTGCTGGAAACAACTGTGAACGATGTTTTTGGGATTTGGGGAGAAGTGGACGAGACAACGAAATTAAATGGAAATTATTAGTACTTGACTTTTGCAGTTGCAGGTTATAATTGTTAATGAGAATGACATGATTGACTTTATTAGGGTTTCAATTATTAGTTTTTTTCTTTTGATGTTTGGTGAATAAAGTTCTTTACAGTTATACACATTGAGTCACAGTGGACTGCAACATGCATCTGGATTTTGAACAAAATACAGTATTGTTTATAAAAGTGGAACAGGTTTTTTTTAGAGGATGTAATGAAAGGATTTGCAATTGAAATTTCAGTTGTTTTTGTACGTTTGGTTTAAAAAAATGCGTGATATGGTACTGGTGCAAATTTGTTGCTGTTACCCATGCGTAATAATGGCCGTGGTGAGAACAAGTGTGGGAAGCGTGATTTTAAAGTTTTATCTGGCTTGAAAGGGGCTAGAAAGTTGGGTTATGCAAATCAGCAAACCAACCATCAAGGCTTGATGAGGAGTGGGACTAAATGTTTTATTTGTGTAGAACGTAAAGTCCGTTAGGCAAGGAACAGGTGCCAGCTATTCGCCTTAACTTTGATGAAGGCGCTTTTTTTCAAACTATGTCAAAGATATTTGGTCAAAGATCTTCAAAGTTGCAATTTCAAATATTGTCGCTTTACTGCTACAGCTATAAACTTATGCTGTTGTGCTGGCAATCTGCGAGTTAGTTATGTAATTGAAGTCTTCTTGAATAATGTTCAAATCATTCTTTTCATAATTGCTTTCATTTCTTTCTGTTGATTTTACTGTCTACTTTTCGTCATATTTTTTTTAACTCACAGAATCAATGAGGTAAAGATGGTAGATTAAAATTTTCTGGTCAATACTTTGTTAAATGCTTTGTGCTTAATTTTTGCTTATTTGATTTCTTATTGTATTATTTGATAACCT